AATCTTAAACCCTAAAGCCCTAAACAAGTCAACATCTTAAGATTCGAACCTTGCCGATAGCTGTAGGCGGTGGCTGGCCGCCCTGATTGCACAAGCGAAGCTAAGAACTATTCGAGGGCGTAAGGTCTTATTGGGTTCTTATAGAGATTATGAGGAGGTATAAGGATAATATGGTATGGAACTACCTGGCTATGACTTCAGGGCGTAAGGTATTATTGGGTTCCTACAACCCTCTCAGAAGGCAGCAAAGGACTTAGTCTTCTAGGGTTCCTTTGAAATGGACTAGAAACCAAAGGATCAAAAGACTAAGGAACTACCCAAGGGAAGTAAAGGTTCTATAGGGGTTCTAGGGATATATAGGGATATAGAACTACTTATCTATGACTTAAGGTACTATAGAGTTCTATATGGGCGGCTTAGGGAATGGAAAAGAAAATGGACGCTAACATGTTATTGGGGATTGTTTAGATCAGAGGACATTACAGGGTTCAGGGTCTACCGTTTATTTAAGGCCTGACAGTAATACCAGGAGTTAAGGGTTTGGGGTTTAGGGCTCGGACCGCGAACCTGCCGAGATGTCTCAGACTCACCCTAGACAAGATGAATGACATGAAGAAAGAAGATCGTTGCCTTGCGGTGGTCCCCATTCATCTGTCCTCATGCGAGTAAAGCTGGAAGCTGAGGCTTCAAGGTGGGCTTCGCGTCTAGGTTTCAGGACCTTGCTCTTAAGTTGGTTGATGAAGAGCAGCTATGGTTCAGAGTTTTTTGGCTGTCCCATGTATGAAAACGGCGACACCGGTGGAAGAAGAATCTCTCTGGGAAGTCTGGTGCCAATTTGGGTTGAGATTGGGTGGTGGTTTAGTGCAAACCGCGCGCGATAACAGCAAAGGGTGTGTCAGCCTGGCTTGGATTCTGAAGAAAGTCTTTCAAAAACGCTTGAGGGGGGGTTGGCGAGGGACTGCAAGGGTGGGCAAGGGAGGTTGCAAGAACTGCAGAAACCTTCTGGGGCATTATGCTAGTGCCTTAGAATCCTTTCTCAAAGACTTTACAAGAAACAGCGTGCTGACTTAGACGGTTGCACACCACTACAAACTCCAACTTCATTACATGCCCTACACTCCCCATATAACCCCAGTATATACCCTCAATCCGATCATTCCATGCAGTCTGCTCCTGGTTGACCCGTGGAGTGAGCTACCTGCTCCTGCGGCAGGCGCCACCAATAGGCTCAAGCATCATCTTCATCTTCATGTGAGCTATAATCTACACTCCTTTAAGGGGGGTTCTATAGGGGATTATTATAGGGAACTAGTATTATGAAGGGGGATACTGGGAGTTTAGACTAGAGCTCATGTGGGAACTTGCTGGTCCTAACCGGCCCATAATACGTTACATCAGGGGAACTCCCCATGATTCCGAGGCATGCTAGAACAGATAAGGCCCTGGAGGTGAAATCTGAACTCCACCTGTTCGGAGGCTCTTCCTGAGCTTGCACTTCCTGAGTTTGCAATTTGTATTCACATGAGTTTGCACCGCGATAAAATCATGAGCATCAACAAAGCAGCAACAGCAAACATGGCAAGGCTAAGCATTCTTGTAGTAAGGATACTAAAGCTACTAACATGACAAACACTGAAACAAAAACCGTGAGGTATCCTGAGTGTCCACATCTCCGCCAAGAAGAGGTCTGCACAGTAGCAAAGGTCAGGGATTTAGTGACTTTTTGGGGGCAAGTTCTTTTG